CAAGATGACAAGGCAATGACCAGTTTCTTCAATAAACCAATTACAAAGAAAACAGAAAATGGAGGCAATATAGATTAAAAGAGATTTAAGAGACATACCAAAACAATTCTTTGCTATTTCTTTCAGTGAGGGTTGGATTCTAATTTCTCTCCCCTTGAACTTGATCTGGCCTTAGTGACTTGCTTGATCAACAGAATGTAGTGAAAATGACATTCTGGGAATTTTGGGTCTTGTTCATAAGAAGCGTGGGAGGTGCCACAGGAGGCCACTTGCAGCACTGTCTCTGGATACCTGAGCCTCCATATAAGAAATCTGAGTACTCTTAGAACAGTATGTTGGAAAGCCCAGATATGTAGGCATAGGTGCAGTCATGTGAATGACGCCATCTTGGATCCTCCAGACCAGCTGTAGTCGATGTGGAAAGAGCCAGAAGGATGACTCAGCCAAGCATTGCTCAAATTACTAATCCATAATATTGTGAGATATAATAAAATGTTGGTTTTTTGTTACTCAGTTTTGGAGTAGTTTGCTATACAACTATTGATACCAGAATAACATCTAATATTTTAAAATGGAAATTAAAATCTAGTGTTCATAAAGTATGGTTTGCAGAAGGAAAGCATGACACACAAAACAAGAGATATGTTTTAGGGCATGTTCAATTTGTGAGGTAATGTTATTTCATGATGAAAATGATACTTAATAAATTGTGTGGTGATATTGAGGAATTGATTTATTTTATTTGAGGTTTCAAAAATAGCTATGAGAAATTGGTATGGGGGGACAGAGAGAGGGGGAGAAAAGATGCACAATTATTTTTCCCTTTATGAATGTGCATTCCTGACATCTCTGAGGACTAAGATTGTCCTGCAGGGAGTATGATTAAAGTTATAAAGAGGAAAACAAAATAAGTAAATCAGCTCTTGATCCTGCTGCTATATTTACCCACAAGAAAAGAGGCAGCTCTCAGGTGGGCTTTTGTCTAAGTAATGTCCTGAAATCCAAGTGTAAAAGAACAATATGAAATCTCAATTCTCCCAAACGGTTTGGGGCAGTTCAGCCCTAGTGCCCCTGGGGGGTTTGGTTCCCAAGGAGACTAATCCCACTTGCTTAGCATTAGGTATCACTGGAGCAAAAGAGCTCTAGTTTGGAGCTCTGCAGAGAGGCCCTTGCACAGGCTGGAGCTGGGTCCCTTTGCCCCATAGGAAGTGAAGTGTATTGATGTCAAAGCCATTCAAGTGAGTGTGCTCACTCAGGGTGTAGGAGGAGGGGCAGATGGGCCTGGCAGGATCTGGCCACTGACTGCTGAAACTAATTTCATCCCAGATAGAGCTCTTCCCCAAAGGAAAGCAGATCAAGGGGGAAAGAAACTGAGACCATGAGGTGGGGTCTACATGTACAATTTAGTTGGATATTGAAACCTCTAAGGATTTATTTTGGCTTCAGGTACTAGTTATTTCAAATAGAAGTTATTCTTTATTGCCTTATTTCCTATAGTTTTCCATAAACATCCTTACTTTCACAAAACCATGCCTCTGCTCAGGCTGTTCCCAGAGATATTGCTCATTTTCTTGGTTCGCTCAAATACATCATTTAAGTCTTAGCTCAAATACTACCTGTCAATGCAGGCTTCCCTGACTTTTCTGAGCAGACTGGTGGGTCCTTTGACCCCATCAACTATTCCACCCTTAATTTACTTCCATTGAGATACGTATTATGTTATATTACAATGACTTGTTTGCATGTCTGTCTTTCCATCAGAAAGGGTAGAGATCATGGCTTCTGATCTCTGTATTCTCCAGTACCAATACCAACATTGTTGGTGTCAATAATATCTGAATGAATAAGTGACTGGATGGATATTTTATGTCTAAGGATCAATTTTGTGAATCAGGCAATAGAACTTGTAAGCCATGAGTATCTTATATGTCTTTATAGAACTTTATGTTGACAAAGAACTTCCACTTGCCAACAAGGATTTTCACAATAGCCTCATCAAATTGGCTCACATTATTATTCCCATTTTATAGATGGGAATATTGAGGGTTCAGATGGTTAAGTGACTTTTCTACAATCAGTTGGATAACAAAAGGCAGGATTGGAATCCAGTCTCAGGCTCTAATTTCAGCTCTAGCTCTACTACATTATAAGTTTCTATAGCCGGCAAGGGTAGTTGCTCTCTTGCATTTGAAAATAATCACTTTGTTGGGGAAAAGAACAAATGGTGCTGATTTTATAGAGTGATATGTTGTTTAGAAACTGGTGAGGCCTAAGGAATCAAAAACATGGAAATTTGTTGAGCTGCTGTTTCATGCCAGGAGCTTTCATATGTACCAACTTACAAAAACCTTGAGGAGCTGAGATTATCTCTATTGTACAGATGAAAAAAGTGAGACTCAGAGGTATTATTTGCCTGCTATGTCATGTAATTCTCACAAAGACTGAAAACAGTTATGACCATTCCATTTTTCAGATAAGGAAACTGAGCCTTAGGAAGATGAACTGACTTATCCAAGGACATTCACCTAGCAAGTGGCAGGCCAGAATTTGAACCTGGCCTTATTAACTCCAAACCATCTCTGAGCTTAAAACTCCAAAGATCTGTAAATGAAGGAATTTTGCATATGAAACTTTTCTTATCCCATTTATTTTAAATATGATTATGTTAGGGTTTAGTTAACTCTCTGCACATTGAGATTTTTCAGACTAAAGATATCAATTAAATGTAAAGATGTATGCAGTCTGTGTCTGGAGATTTAGAAGAGCTGCTAAATTAAAAGAAGGTGAAAAAAAAGAGTGTTCTTAGCTGCCAGACCTGGAGGCTTATGGAATGGTCATGTCAAAAAGGAGAAGGTAAGCGCTGACATTCATATCTGATGGGTGAAAAACACAACTCAGTAACAAGCTCACACAATTTTCTTACTGCAAATGTCACCAAGAGTAAAACAGTCCAATCATGAAGAACAAAATCTTGTGTTACTCTAATGAAAGGAATATTATAATTGAGCCACCTTAATTAAAAAAAATTAAAAAGTTTGATTTAGCCATGTTGGCTTGGATAGTGTCTACTTCATCTCCAAAAAGGAGAGTGCTCTCTGGCTACTCTTCTTTGGTAAGTCTGTACCTTCAGGGTGCTCAAAAATCATGTTGCTATATCCTGAAAAATGGAGGCTTAAAGAAAAGAGTTTTTAATTTTTTTTTATTTTAGAGACAGAGTACACACATGTGAGTGTGGGAAGGACAGAGGGACTGAAAGAGAGAGAAACCCAAGCAGGCTCCATGCTCAGGGAGCCTGACGCAGGGCTCAATCCCATGACCCTGGGATCATGACCTGAGCTGAAATCAAGTGTCAGATGCTCAACCAACTGAGCCACCCAGGTGCCCCTTAAATAAAAGAGTTTTATAAGACATGGTCTACATTTCCCTGGAGCAACTCTGAACCTAAATTATCATAACTTACTTAGAGAACACTTTATCACACACCTTATATGTCTTTTCTAGCATGGTGTGTTCATATATGACATCTCATTGAATCCTCACGAACATTCTGTGATAGAAAAGGCACATAAGGGAATATAGTCACCTTTTAGCATTTTAGAGAAGTAAGGGCAAATATTCTCACAGGCTATGCAAGAGTCAACAGATAAGGAATTTTCACAGGATGTTTCCTTTAAATATGACAAGTGCCCGGGAAGTTGGCAACCTTACCTGCATTTAATGTGAGTAAATTAAGACAGAAAGAAGTTGGCTGGTTTGGCCAAAGCCATGTCCTCATCAGAATCTGGATTTTAAGCTAAATCACAGAGCTATTGAGTGGTGAAGCTAAGAGCTGTTGAGTGTAGAGCTGAGAGCTGTTGAGTGGTGGAGTTAAGATGGAATGGGGAAACACCAGTCTTTTCTAAATTATCTTCCATGCTCTACCATGTTGCTCATTTTCTCTTTCTGAAGAGGATTGCCGGGTTGAAATTGGGTTGAAGTGACCTTCGTGGTGATCCCTGAAATCCAACAGAAGTTCCAGAAGGACAACTTAAATGGTATGACAAGTAGGGGAGAGGTTCTGATTCCGATTTTGTCCTAAGATGCTGAGAGTTTTATACACACACAGGGTCTTCTCTCAAGCACCTGCTGGCTTAGTGGAGTGACTCCTTTCTCCTTTACCTCCTGCTGTCTATCTACAATACTTAAAGATGGACCAAGTGCTTGCCGCAATTTACTATAAGCTAATTGTTACTTTTAACAATAGAAACAAGAGTTTAACAAATAGGGTCGAAGACAGAGCATTGGTCTTGAAAGTCCTACAGACACTATCGCTAGAGTCTTAGGACCAGGGTTACGGCTTAAGAGACCCCAGTTTCCTTCTCCCATCTTATAGATGAAGAAGAGGAGGCCAAGAGGGAGCACAAGTTCTGTCAAGGACTTAGGAATGGCTTTGGTGTTGAACTGGACTGGATATAGCTTAGGCGGCCAAAGCCCCGAACCTCTTTGAGGCTGTTTCTTCATTTGTTAGATGAATATATGGTAATAATACGCACTTCACAGGGTAATGTTCAAAGATTAAATGAGATAACGTACGGATAGCCCCTGGAATACGCGAGCGCCCAGTAGCTGGTGGCTATTATTTTTATCAAAGCTGGGACTGAATGAAACTCACTTCCCTGGATTCTTGCCTTCTCGACCTCAGGGAGAGCCTCGCGCCCCAGGGCGTGGTTGTACAGGAGCTAGAGTTTGAGGACGGGCCATCTAATCCTCGCCTCGTGCAGCTGCAGCTAGGCAAGATCAACGCCACAGGGCGAAGGGAAACGAAGGGGTTAAAGTGACGAGCTTGAGAAAGCCCAGAAAGCTGGAAAAACGACCCCTCCACCTCACCACCCAGGCTAAGCAAGCCCCTCCCCTCCGCCACCGGGGCGGTAGCCGCGCTCGCCCTCCCTCCGCCCCTCGCTTACAAGACCTAATGAGCTCCCCCGCGAGGCCGAGCAGCGAGCCCGGCCCGGAGCTAGGAGGCTGCGCCGCGCGCGCCGCGCCAGGGCGGGAGCCGGGCCTGGGTCGCGGGCAGGAACCGGCCAGGGACGCACCCGCCGCGCTGCGGGTCTCCCGGGAGTCGCGGCGATGGCGGTGCAGGCGGCGCTCCTTAGCACGCACCCCTTCGTCCCCTTCGGCTTCGGGGGATCCCCGGACGGGCTGGGGGGCGCCTTCGGAGCCCTGGACAAGGGCTGCTGTTTCGAGGACGATGAGACCGGGACGCCCGCGGGCGAGCTGCTGGCGGGCAACGAGGGCGGGGACATGCGTGAGGCCACCCGCGACCTGCTCAGCTTCATCGACTCGGCGTCCAGCAACATCAAGCTGGCACTGGACAAGCCAGGCAAGTCGAAGCGAAAGGTGAACCACCGCAAGTACCTGCAGAAGCAGATCAAGCGCTGCAGCGGCCTGATGGGCGCCGCGCCCCCCGGCCCGCCCTCTCCGGGCGCCGCCGACACGCCCGCGAAGCGGCCGCTCGCCGCCCCCGGCGCGCAGACCGTCGCGGTCCCGCCCCACGGCAAGGCTGCCCCCCGGCGGGAGGCCGCGCAGGCCGCGGCGGCCGCCAGCCTGCAGAGCCGGAGCCTGGCCGCGCTCTTCGACTCGCTGCGCCACGTCCCTGGGGGCGCCGAGCGGGCCGGGGGGGCGCTGGCTGCGCCCGCGGCCGGGCTCGGCGCAGCGGGCGCCGGGGGCTCGGGAGGGGAAGCGGCCGGCACCGCGGGGGGTACGGCGGCCCCCGGCCCCCGGAAGGTCCCGCTGCGCGCCCGCAACCTGCCCCCGTCCTTCTTCACCGAGCCGTCCCGGGCGGGCGGCGGCGGCGGCTGCGGCCCGTCGGGGCCCGGCGTGAGCTTGGGCGACCTGGAGAAGGGCGCCGAGGCCCTGGAGTTCTTCGAGTTGCTGGGGCCCGACTACGGCGGCGGCGCCGAGGCCAGCGTCTTGCTCGCCGCGGAGTCTCTCGATGTGTTCCCCACGGGAGCCGCCGTCCTGCGGGGCCCCCCGGAGTTGGAGCCCGGTCTCTTCGAGCCGCCCCCTGCCATGGTGGGGAACCTCCTGTACCCCGAGTCCTGGAGCGCCCCGGGCGGCCCGCAGACCAAGAAGCCGCCGCTGGCTGCCCCGCGCGGAGGCTTGACCTTGAACGAGCCCTTGCGCCCCCTGTACCCCTCCGCCGCGGACTCGCCGGGAGGGGAGGACGCGACCGGCCTGTTGGCGTCTTTCGCCCCCTTTTTCTCAGACTGCGCCCTGCCCCCGCCGCCGCCGCCGCCGCATCAGGTGTCGTACGATTACAGCGCCGGCTACAGCCGCACGGCTTACTCCAGCCTCTGGAGACCGGACGGGGCTTGGGAAGGGGCGCCCGGGGAGGAGGGGGCGCACCGGGACTGATGGAGAGGTGCCGTTGCCTCGCGTTCGAGGCCGCTGTGGGGAGCTCCCGCCTTTGGGTCTCTCCTAAGCCTCAGGACGACGGAAAAGTGCGCGTGGAGATGAAATGAATTTAAAAATATTCACTTAATAAAAGAAACTTACGAAAAAGAATTGAAGAGGAGTTGGGGGTTGTTGTTTTTTTAAAATTTCTTTTTAGTGTTTATTTTTGAGTGTGTGAGAGAGACAGAGAACACGAGTGGGGGAGGGGCAGAGAGAGAGGGAGACACAGAATCTGAAGCAGGCTTCAGCCTCGGAGGTGTCAGCACAGAGCCCGATGCGGGGCTCGAACTCATGAACTGTGAGATCGTGACCTGAGCCGAAGTCAGCTGCTTGAGCGACTGAGCCACCAGATGTCCCGGGGGTTGTTTTAATCACAGCCTCAAATGTTTAAACAAAAACAACAACAACAAAACGTTGGCAGGTCCTTACTGGACCAGACCACCGAGAAGCGAGAAGCCGAGAGGGGCTTTGGGGAAGGGGGTGGGACTGGCTTAAGGGGCAAGAGGTGGCTCCTGTAGCCCTTCTCCAACTTTTCAGCAAAAGGTCAGTGTGTTTAGCGTAATTGCCCCTTCCAGGCAGTGCGCTGCTCCCTCCCTCTCCTCCGTTGAGTGAATTTTGAATTAAAACCTGTATTGAAAAGAATGGAGCGAAGATATGTTATTGATTTGGGTGTTTTCTTAGAGGATGGTTCTCAGTATGGTCTCTTTGCTTTGCTAGGTGAGAGCGTTACTGAAGACAGGAGGCCAGTGGTCCAGTGCTGACCGCCCGTGTGCTGGTCCCTGTGTGCGGGACTCCTCTCTGACACCGTGTTTTCACCTCCCTTCCTCGTCCATCTCGGTATCCTTCTTCCGTTTCTTTTCCACTCCTAACAGTTTCATTGCTTCCCTTCCTTCTCTTTCTCTGGTTTCTTGTTGCTCTCTTTTGAGATATATATATCAAATATATATTATATATATGGTATATGTATCAGATATATATATGTATCAGATATATATCATATATGTATCTGATACATGATATATATGATATATGTATCAAATATACATATACATAATGATATATGTATCAAATACATATACATGTATATATGTATCAAAATATATGTATGTATCAAATATATATATGATATATATATGATATATTTTTTTTCTGTCAGCTTTCCATGAAAATCTCTGATGTAGGAGGCTTAAATTTGACAAAACTGGGGGGTCTATTTCTCTCCTTTTCCCATTCTTCCGCCACTTTGCTAGGGTGTCACTAGGCACCTTATTTAAGTTTCGTTGTCTGAGAGGAAGGGGATAATATTCCTTCACTGACCGCTTCTTCATAACGTGGTGGGTAGCTCAGAGGCTACTTGACTGGTTCTGCAAGTATACATATTTTATATGCATATAGTAACGGTTTATACATATGGAAGCCATTAGGATTGTGAGTCCCATGCTCTTTTTTGGCCTCCTTGCCAGGTGATTGCTCTTCCCCTTACAAGCTGTACATGCTCTCTACCCTTTCTTCTCCTGTTTCATTCCCCCCTCACCCCACTTGGTGGGTTTCTACCTCCCTGTGCTTCCTCACTCCCTATACCCACACTGTCTCCATGGGTCAGAATGGTAAGGGTGTGATGTTTCCAAAGGAATCTCTATTCCCTGAATAGCAGGTTTGATGATTGGAATTTGAAGGGGCCCCAAAAAGTCTGATCTGTTAATTGAGAGAGATTTAAGGGAAAGTCAGATAAACATTTTAACCAGCCATGATGTGGCAGAGAGGACATATGGCACTACCAGGAAGTTTGAGGGGCAAAGGAGGAAACACTGGGTGGGGAATAAGCAGCTGGAAAGAAAAGAGGGAGCCCTTTAGTTCTGCAGACTTGCCATGAAAATGCATGAAGACCAATACTCAGGAAGTGTAAGAAGATGTCATTTACTGATTAATGACATTGCAAAGAGAGCTGCCTCAGTTCCAGGCAGCCAAGATAGATTCTAGGAATATCCACATGTGAGGAAGTAGTTACTGCAAAAGATGTTAAAATCCAGATTAATGTTTGTACAAATCAAAAGTGCTGTGATATTTTCAGAAAGGAATTTGTCCAGAAACAAATGGGTATTAAGCCATGGCAGACAACTTTAAATGAAGTTACTAAGTCTCTTTATTATGAATAAGGTAGCACCACAGGAAATACAGCAATGAGTCTCGGTAATGACGAAGAGAGCTTTTCCAACTCCAGAAACTTGGTGTCCATTGGATTTCTTTCAAAGTGATAACAACTGATTAATGCCATTGTGTTAGCTGAATGCTATTCAACTGTCATTTAATTTATCTAAAATACTTTAGGATGAGTACAATCCAGGACAGAACTGCATAGTAAGAAAACATTAACAACCCTGTGACAATGACTAAGGCTATAGTAGTCACTGCAGTGTTTCTTTCTTCATTTCTTCTTTCTTCTTACCTAGTTCAGTAAAACAGACTATCTGTCTCCCAGTATTCTGCCATGCCTTTCATTAATAATGATAATACCAACACTGTGTTTCCATGTGTTGGTACTGAGCTTCTCAACGGTGCACGAGGTAGGTGCTCTTATTATCCCCATTTGAAAAGAGAGGCTCAGACAGGTTAAAAAACTTGCTGAACGCAAATAATGGATCCAATATCCGGATCTACAAGTGTCCTAACACTACAACTTGCCTGCCACTTGCAAAGCTCTGCTGTGCTTTGTTAGTGTGTATGGTTCCCAGTCCCTGGCATTATGCTACCAACAGGGTTTCTCAACCTCAACCACTACTGACATTTTGCAGGAGGTAATTCATTGCTATGCAGGCTGTCCTGTGCATAGTAGAGTGTTTAGCGGCATCCCTGGCCTTTACTCACTAGATAACAGGAATACTCCCCTAGGAGCGACAATCGAAAATATCTCCATTACTGCATGTCTCCTGAAGGGCAAGATGGCTGCCAGTTGAGAGCTACTATTGCTAGACAAATATATAAATAGTGTCTATGGGGTGCCTGGCACTTTCACAGACATGGTCTCATTTAATTCTTACAAAGGCCTGTGCTTAGGTATTGTTATCTTCGTTATAGGTGAAAAGAAGGCTGAAGGGAGCAGTTAAATCAATCAACTCAGCTGTATCTTATCTGTGCTAATCTACCAGTCATGGGCCAGTTACTTAGCTGTATTAAGACAGTCTTCTTGTTGGCAAAATTGGACAACAATCTTAACAAAGAGTTATCGTGGGGATTTGGCTTAGGGTCTATAAAAATATCCACCAAAAAGGAGGGGCTAGTTCTTAGTACCAGGCAGACTTGGCATTATATCAAGGTTCTAAAGCACCCTGTTATCCAGGATGCCAAGAATGTGTGCTTGGTCACTATGCAGCCTCCAAACTGCCCCATGTCTGATTCTTCTTCTCCCCACCTAACCTTCCAGTTTGAGCACGTGTGTGTCTGACCATGCCACCTGCTGTAAGTAGCAGCCGTTAATAACAGTCCTGCAAAGGGCTGAATGTATTGTTACTTCCTCTCACATGTCATTTTCTACTGCAGCTTGCATTAGAACGTATTTTTGTCTCTTGTTTAGCCACATAATTGTTTGTAGGGATTTCTTTTTAGGTACGATGTGGAAATTTTTCAAGATCAGAAATATAATATGTAGTTGTATGACTTTGGACAGGCTGGGGATTGTAAACTAGTTGTAATAATTATTACACTGTTTGCTGCATATTCATGATTCCCCATCTCAGCCTTGGTGCCTGGAATGTGATTTAGTGTCTTCCTACATCCTATAAGTGGCTGTCCCAAGCCATTGTTCATCTCCATTCAAGCCTCTGCCTTACTCCTTTCCTCACTCCCACTTCCTGACAAGGTGGAGAACATCTGCTGTAAGTCTCCCTCCGTTTCTCATCTCCTCTTTCACACAAGGTTTCTCTCCAGCAGGCAGGACCTTCCCCTGCCCTCCAGGCTCAGCACCCTGCCCTTCCTACTTCACGAAAAACAAGATGATGCTTCTCTATCAATTATCTTTAGTCTTCTATAGCTTCAGCTTCACCCTCACTGTTTCCTCTCATCCTAGAAATAAACCTTTAGTATAGATTACAAATAAGAAACAAGGAGAATAAAGAAGTGAAAAACTCTTCTCTAGAGATTAATCTATCTTCTCTTTAGAGTTGAGTCAAGAAAAGAATCCACTTTTTTTTTTTTTTTTTTTTTTTTTTTTTTTTTTTTTTTTTTTTTTTTTTTTTTTTTTTTTTTTTGCCTCCACCTCACCTACTATTTAAACCTTGCCCATTTAGGGTCTTAACCACCCCAGTTTGCATGGGAGCATCTCAGTTTTAGTACCAAAAGTTCCAAGAAGGCCCTCAGTCCTGGGAAAACTGGGACAGATGGCCATTCCACTTCTGCCCACTGTTTCCCCCAAATTGCTCTCCCTGAAGCCTCAGTCACCAACCATGACGTCTGTAGCCTTTAGCTTTTTTGGCTTCTGTGCTGCATATGAACAACTGGGCTCCAACTTACTGAAGCTCTCCTCCATGGGTTTTGTGAACTTACTGAAGCTCTCCTCCATGGGTTTTGTGGAATCTCATTTTCTTTTGGTTTTCTCCTTACTTTCTGGCCATGCCTACTTCTTGCTGGAACTTTCATACACTGGCTCCTTTCACTTCTTCCCTTTGCTCTTCATACTCTACACGTTCTTTCCTGGTGATGGTTGCTGTTCCTAAGGCTTCAGCCATCACTTAATGTGCTGATGACTCCCATATCTAGGCCTGCTTGGCTTTCCTCCATCCTAGAGCCATTTCCCCACCTATTTCCTAGACTTCTCTTGGAGGGACAAGGCTCATAAGGTTTCAAGCTTTATGTCCAAAAGTGAACACATACACAACTGGAGTAGCCCACAGTCTGCCTGGCCACACTCTTCTCGTAGTCGCTGTCATCCTGACCCAACAGATACCTAGACCTATTCCATACTAGCTTCTAAGTCAGTATGTCTCAAATGTGTTTATTCATGACCTTCAGAAAAACCTCATTTTATGTTATGTCTCAGTATATCCATATCTCTATTCATATGAATTCACAGCCATACACACATACTCATTTAATAATTTAGATAGTATTAGATTATC